TGGATTCAACCTCTGAGTCTGCCATGTTCTTGCAGTGAACCTTCTTCTAGAACGAATAGACACACTCGTTACTAATTTGACAACACGTAAATCTACGGTCCGCTACAAAGATATAACACGGCGATGGGAAAGTGATTGAAATCGAGATGCCAGGTCAGAGCCAATAACATTGCAGATTCTTCTTTGGATTTTATCAGGACTCTATAAATATATAGCAGGTACCCATGGAATTATTCGACAGCAATATTCAAATCAAATACGACGAATGTTAAATATTTTTTTTACGTTCACCGATTTATTTGAACAAATGAAAAAGATATTATTCGAATGTTTCCTTTCTTGTAAGCTCCATGTAGCAATGTGCCGAGTAGGAAATTCAATCTATTGCTGAGTATGCTTGTGTATATAGACATTATAGAGATGTAAGATAACTTCTATGACAACAAATTTCTCCTCTTCGTAGCACGGCTCTTCGATTATTGAAAATCGTAGACACAAATTTGAGAATACTGATACAAGCCTCAAGGTAGAGAGTTATTGTCGGGAGCGTACATTTTATAACTGCCGACTCAATACCGCCGACTTAGCACCGGCCAACTCATTTCAGTGACAACCCACTACCAGCCTACTCAGTGCGAGGACAGCTCATACCTGGCGTGAATTCCTAGCTTCAGACCGGTTTTGATTGTCATACTGTGCACATCTCTTAGATCGTCTTATATATATATATATATATATATATTGAGCAGATATGAATGTGCGTGAGAGAATCATGGAAGATTGTAGTTTAAAGACAGTAAAATCGGACTTGCTAACCGAACGATCCTCTGTGGCTCAATCGGTTAAAGAACGTCAGGCTATGATAAATTTTGTGAACATTTCTGACGCCTGATCCCCAGGGAATCAAAATTTACTCGAGACATTTGGGGGTGGAGAATCAATCTTTCAATAACTATCACTTAAACATACACACACACGCTCGATAGGTTAAGGCACGTCAGGCTATATGATGGTTCCGTATAGGATACAGGTTCGATTCCTATCAGAGGACGCATATTTTCTATGAAAATTTCTCGGACATTCAGGTCGGTAAATGTTATTAATGCTGTTTACTATAAACAAAGCATTTACTTAAATATTTTTATCTATAAAAAGAATGTATATATATATATAATTATTTTTTATAAAAAAATTATAACATAAGTATGCTATAAAATCACTACAAAAATAGCCATTTTGTTTCAACACACTCTGTGTCTTATCAAGTGATGATGTTGAAAAGAAAATAAATGGTTTTAAAAGTTTCAGATTAATTAACGATCCTACACTAGGGGGAAACATTGTTACAAAAGCTAGAATAACCAATCAAAAACCAAGTATTGAAAGATTCAAAAGCTCGACAACGAAATCATGTTATAATAGCTATTCAGATCTTTAAATACGTGTAATATTAAAAATAATTTATACTAACCAATAATTATAAAATTATATGATAAAATTTAATATTAAAATTAAAAACTGGCCATTTTAAAATCCAAATTTAATCACTATTAAGTTTAAAAACTACAAAATTATTGAGAAAAGAAAAAAAATATATGTTTATTCAATTTATTTCTTCATTGAAATTACGTTCGACAAGACGCTACAATATATCCGGTCATTTGACAATACATGTATATATATTTCTTTCTTTTCCCCTTCTTTTCCTTTTTTATTTTTTTATTTTAAAGTGTGTGAATTTGGTCTTAAACTCACGCGCAAAACAACAAAAACACAATCAGATTATAATACATAAGCACCCAGACATAATTAGATACACACACACACACACACAAAAGGGGGGGTTGCGAGCTTTGAACATCTCTACAGCCCTTTATGAAAAAAGGAGACGTGGAAACCAACACTTATACAAACACACAGTTAAAAGTGAATACACTCTACATACACATAGACACCGATAGATACACATACATACATCCACAGACAATGACATAGACAATCAGATATCACAACCAATAAATATTTCAAACTTAAATAAATGCTAACCACTTATTAAATTATAACTTAAGGGAGCAAATATAGAAAGATAAAAATGGTTAAAATTAATATTATTTAATATATTAAAACGAAAATTCCAAACCATAAATATCAATAAAAATATATATTAATCATATAAGTTGATAATAGTTTCATTATATATTAGGCAAAGAAAAACAGGATAAAGAAACCCACAGATATATACATATATATATATACACGGAGCAAAAACAAATTAACACACATAAATATACACTCATACATACATATACATATAGAAATACATACAAATAAATATATAAACATAAACATATACGCACATATACATATCTATGATAACAAGTACACATGCACGCACATATACATATAAACCTAAATACACACATATATACACAGAGTTTTATGCACACATACTTACATATATAAAAACAGTCATGATATACCAAAGTTTCCATACCCACACATACACACAAACAAACTCATACATAATAGGTGCCAACAAACACACATATATATACATACACAAACATACATAAATATATATACACACATACATACATATCTACAAATAAACATATATATAAATATATCTATCTACAATAACAACTACCAATATATACATGCATACATAAAAATACAACAACACTCAACCAAATACATATATAAACGTACTAACATATAGATACATAAATATACCTTCAAATACCAACACACAGCAATATACATATAGCCTAACATACAAATATATAAACACATTCATACAAACAGAAATATACTTAAATATAAATATACATACACAATAAAATAGGACACATACAGATATATACATATATACACACAGAGATATATATATACACACATACATACACACATACACACACATACATATATATACAAATATATCGTGGCACAAAGCCGAAATTAGGGGGCACTCAGTGAGGAACGAACTCATTACTCAGTAGCAACTAATCTAGCGAACCATGCTTGCCAACCATTATACCGCCGTGATTTTATCATACATACACATATACATATTTATATGTATACACATACACACACATACATACATATACACACATACATATATATATATATACACACACACACATATATATATATACATACATATATATATTTACACATATACATATATATATATGCATACATATGCAAACATACACACATATACACACATATACATACATATACACACACCCATACACACATACATATATAGGCACACACATCAACAATTATTAACCTTTTCTCTTCTAATCTACCATACCTTCCCACATTATATATATATATATATATATATACACACACACTCACATATATATACACGCACCCCCACACATATATATATAAAAAAAAACATATAAATACACTTATACTCAAACCTACACATTCCTCAGTGCAAATACACTAACCAACACATAAATAAATATATACACATATACACCAACACTAATAACACTATGCAGGTAAACAATACACACTTATATCGTAAGTATGACCATCATGCAATAAAAATACTAATCTATTAAAAATACAGCGACATACCATTATCATTTAAAGTATACGACCCCTACACTAAGTTAAATTTATAACGGTGTTTACAATTAACTGTAAGTTCATATCTTTGATTTAAGAGTTCAGCCTAGGCTTATACTTATGTTATCATTTTTTTATAAAAAATAATTATATCTGCTCTACTTTGTATTGAGCACTCTTTTAAGAATAGTAATTGTTGGTTATTGGAATTCATTCCGTATATAACAATTATATACTTGGGTATATATATATATATATATATATATATATATATATATATATATATATATATATGATAACTCCTTATTGACAACAAAATAGCAAATATTCTCCCCATTCTCTATACGGCTTACCACTGATTGTTTTCCTCTTCTGCAAACAAATATTCGCTATTTATTTTCTTTCTTTCCTGAACGTAACACGAGTCGACCGTTCTTCAGAGAATTCACATATCAAATTACAAACGAAGGAAACAAAACAAAACATGTTAAATATTGTTATTTTTACAATGGCAAATATTGCCTTCCTGGAATTAACCCTAACTGAAATTTGTCTTCCATTTATTGAAGACGAATTTTATTGCCTTTCTTTCTCTCTCTCTCTCTCTCTCTCCTGTCTTCTGTCTTGAAGAGAAGTCGTGACCATTCGTTGTCGCTTCTGTTTTGCTCCCTCGTCGCTTATTGGTTTCTTTTCTGGCGGAAAAGAATTAGATTCTACAAACTGAAATTCCTTTCTTCTTTTAGGTGATCATCTTTATTATTAATTACTTGGAAGATACATTTCAAAAGACGTATAAAAAGATATGCTAAGACATAGATAGATAGATAGATAGATAGATAGATAGATAGATAGATAGATACGAACAAACTGTGAGATAGATAGATAGATAGATAGATAGATAGATAGATAGATAGATAGATAGATATGAAGAGATTTAGATAGACTGGAAGAGTATTAGATAGATAGATAGATAGATAGATAGATAGATAGATAGATAGATAGATAGATAGATACGAACAAACTGTGCTAGATACGTGCGAACATAGATAGATAGATAGATAGATAGATAGATAGATAGATAGATAGAAACGAACAAACTGTGCTAGATACGTGCGAACATAAATAAATAGATAGATAGATAGATAGATAGATAGATAGATAGATAGACGCATAAATAGATAGATACGTGCGAACATGCTAGATAGATAGATAGATAGATACATATAGATAGATAGATAGATCATTTCCTCGCTCATCTTCTTGCTGGCCACTCTTAGTCTTTTCCATTTTCCTCGTGACGCCATTTTTTGTTTGCTGTCTTGATGCTATTTGATCGCAAAAGAAACGAAGGGAAAAATGAATTTTAAGGAGAGGCAATTTTTCGCAACGTTAATCGTTTAAAGTTTTGAATGCATATTTACATTTTGGTTCTGCCTTTCAAAATTTGCCTTCTTTCTTTCATTTATTTTTTTCTGTTTTCTTTCTTTATTTTTTCTACCTTACTTTATTTTAATTTATAAATGGTCGCCTTCCTTGATTCTACTTTCCTTCCTTCTTTCCTTCTTTCTTTTTTCTTTCTTTCTTTGTTCTTTCTTTTCATTCTTTCGTTTTAAATTTCCAGTATTTTCATTCACTCATTCGTTTTTAAATTCTTCTTTTTTCTTTCATTCATTTATTTAAGCCTTCTTTTCGTTTTTTTTCTTTCTTTCTTTCTTTCTTTCTTTCTTTCTTTTCTTTCTTTCTTTCTTCGTTTCTTTTCTTTTCTTTGCTCCAGTATTTTCATTTTCGTTTTTTAAATATTCTTTTCCTTCTTTTATTTAAGCATTCGTTCGTTTGTTCTTTCTTTCTTTCTTTCTTTTCTTTTTTTTCTCTTTTCTTTCCTTCTTTCCTTCTTTCTTTCTTTCTTTCTTTCTTTCTTTCTTTCTTTCTTTCTTTCTTTATTTTCATTCACTCATTCGTTTTTAAATATTCTTCATTCATTCATTTATTTAAGCCTTCGTTCGTTTGTTCTTTCCTTCTTTCTTTCTTTCTTTCTTTCTTTCTTTCTTTCTTTCTTTCTTCGTAAAGTATTTTTCTTTCCTTCTTTCCTTCTTTCTTTCTTTCTTTCTTTCTTTCTTTCTTTCTCTCTCTCTTTCTTTCTCTCTTTCTTTCTTTCTTCCTTTCTTTCTTTCTTTCTTCGTTTTTTCTTTCAGTATTTTCATTCACTCGTTCATTTTAAATATTCTTCATTCATTCATTTATTTTCTTTCTTCTTAAAGTGTCATTTTTCTTCTTTTCTTTCCTTCTTTCTTTCTTTCTTTCTTTCTTTCTTTCTCTCTTTCTTTCTCTCTTTCTTTCTTTCTTTCTTTCTTCGTAAAGTATTTTTCTTTCCTTCTTTCCTTCTGTCTTTCTTTCTTTCTTTCTTTCTCTCTCTCTTTCTTTCTTTCTTTCTTTCTTTCTTCTTAAAGTATTTTTCTTTTATTCTTTCTTTCTTTGCTCCAGTATTTTCATTCATTTATTCGTTGCATCAATAGTCTCCGTCATTCATTCATTCATTTATTTAAACATTCATTCTTCCCTTCTTTCTTTCTTGCAGCATTTTTCTTTTATTCTTTCTTACTTTCTTTCTTTCTTTGCTCCAGTATTTTTATTCACTCATTCATTGCTTCAATATTCTTCATTCGTTCATTCATAATTTCTTTCTTTCAGTATTTGTATTTTATTTTTATTCCTTTTTTCTTTATTACGGTATTTTCATTCACTCACTCGTTCCTTCATTATTCTCTTTCATTCATTCATTTATATTATCATTCATTCAGCTTACGGTCAAATCACGCTGAAAACACCGAAGTTAAGCATCGTAGAGCCAGGTCAGTACTTAGATGGGGGACCGCTTGGGAACACCTGTTACTGTAAGCCCCCAAAGTCCAACCCTTACCTCACAATCGGTGGGGGGTGTAAACAGTAGTGTCAGAGCTATGCCGCCCGGAACTTCGTTCCTGGTAGGGCCACCAAAGGCGGACAGGTCTGACACACACGCCAACTAACAAGGGCTCTGGTGAAAATCAAGGAGCGTCTGCATCGGTAACCGGCGGCTTCTGGTCGTTCCTGTCTCTGCGTCTGTGGGAATCCGCGGCAAGCAAGAACGTTATCCGAGTAGGCCTGGGTACCCTACTTCTGTAATTTATCCCAAGAATCTTCTTCTCATAACAGGAAGAAGCCGGCTCAATCCGCCCAGAGTGAATGCCGCATCAGTACAGTAGTATTATCATTCGTTCTTTCTTTCTTACATTATTTTTCTTTTATTCTTTCTTCCTTTCTTGCTTTGTTCCAGTATTTTCATTCACTCATTCGTTGCTACAATATTCTCCTTCATTCATTCATTTATTTAAGCATTCTTTCTTTCTTTCTTTCTTTCTTTCTTTCTTTCTTTCTTTCTTTAACTTACGTATTTCCTCATTATCCATTGCCAATATTTCTTTCTTTCTTTCTTTCTTTCTTTCTTTCTTTCTTTCTTTCTTTCTTTCTATTTTAATACAGTCCTGAAGAGCCATTCTTCGAGATCTTTTGGCCTTAATATAAGTATCCCCCAGCTCTAAATCCCTGGACTTACGTTATTCCAAATTTGCAAAAATATCTTTATTGATGGCACCACTTCTTAATTCTGTATCTATATTGATGACATAATTACAGTAGAATCTCTCATATCCGGAATCACTCATATCCGGAATCTCTCGTATCCGGAATCTCACATATCCGGAATCTCTCATATCCGGAATCTCACATATCTGGAATCGCTCATATCCGGAATCTCTCATATCCGAAATCGCTCATATCCAGATATGATTTTGATGTGTATATTTGAACTATTTGGGTGATATGTAACTGATTAAAAATTTCTGTTACTTTGGATAATTGCTTATGCTTATTTCACCCTAAGGGCTTGTATTGGTGCAAAAGATGATGGGAATAAGAGGAAAGGATGACAACGAGACACATCTGCAACAAGATAGCAACGTGATGCATGATTGTGATGAAATCTGGACTGAAATTGAAAAATCTATTGAAAAGGTAGTCAGTTTTATGGAAGGAAAACCAACATTCAGCTATGACGATTGCAATAACGAACGCAGTGTTAAAAAGTGTCTTCGTTTAAAGAAATTCAAGAACAAAAGCAAAACGAAATGCAGAAAAAGTTGCGAGTGACATTACAAGAGAAAGAATCATCATGCAACAGCGATTAAAAAATCCTCGTGACATTATTTGTTTTGCATACGTGGTATCCTTAATTTAATGATTTTTCATTAACATTACATAATTTATTTCTTTTTCTTTCAAATCAATTCCATTATATTTCACTCACCATTAGCTTATTTTGTTTGCTATAAACATTGAAAATAAATATTAAACATGATTTTAGTTCTTTTATTTTAATCTAAATATAATTCCTCATGTCGGGACTTTGTAAACAATTCTTTATATCCGGAAGGCCTTCTTAGTCTGGTTTTCATGGATTCTACTGTATTTGCCTCTTTCTTAATAGTAAGTTTGGTTGGTCCAATAAGGTAAAAGTGATAGTTAATGTGAAAAAAAATAACTTACATTCTGTTGTTAACTGGGAAAAGGCTTGCTAATTTTAACGCCTCAAAAACGAATCTGCTCTTTATATTAATAATCTGAGAGAACACTTTTTGTTTTCCATCAGTATGGATTATGCTAATCTCCAGGAAAGTGACTCATTGAGACTTGTCTGGCTAAAATGAATTAAAAAGATTATATTGAATCAAATACTACGTCTGATGCTAAGAAATTTGGTTCCTTGCGTCGTGTGAGACAATATTTTTCTCTCCTGAATCTATCTTACATATCTCTAAGTCTACCATTCGTCTGTGATGTGAATATTGCTGCCATATCTGGTCTGGTGCTCCTGCAATAAGTTTAGAGATTCTTGATAAAATCAAAAGAAGAATTTGCAATACTATTGGTCCTGAACTGACATCTCGGCTTCAGTCACTTTCCTACGGAAGAATTACTTTTATGGTAATTGTTCTGATGAACTTTTCTCGTTTGGTACTTCTTGATGAATTTACGCACTGTACTAAATTTTTAAAAGATTATCATAATTTTCTAGTTGATTTGGGGGGATGTAAATTCTATCCTAACAGTTCCTTCACTGTCATCTCCCACTTGTCAATCTCTCTTCTGACTTTTTGTTGCATAGTCAACATTAATCTTTAAAACTTTAAATTCCAATGTCAATCTTTATCTTCTGTCTTCTTAATTCCTCCTCCTCTTTTATTATCCTTTCCCCTCACTAAAGTCTTCTAATTCTCTTTCACTCTTCTTAATTTCCAGTCATCTTTGATCTTCAAAAATTTCAATGCAATGTCAATCGTTATCTTCTGTCCTCTTAATTCCTCTTCTTTTATTATATCTTTCTTCTTAATAGATTTTTTTATATACTCTACCAGTCAGTAACACCTTGCGTCTTAGTGACTTTATTACCTTGCTTGGGGTGAAATGATTAAATATAAAACAAATGCAACGAAGTTTTACAAAGCTATATCCTTATGGTCATACTCGACAAGGATGTGTCAACCAACATTTTTTTTTCAATTTCAGTAACATTCCAATTTAAAAAGTATAAGAAAGTTCGTTTTTTTTATTCTATGGATCACAAATTCTTTGCTTAATGATTGTTTTTGATTCGCATGTTTATTCTAGTTGTTTGCTATTGCAATCATTTTTATTCAAACATTTATACTACCTGTTTATATATACGGTTTCTTCCGCCATTAGTTTTTTCATTAATGTCGCTTTTCGATTTTTTCCATTTGACGGTCGAATATTGTGTTTTGATGGATATTTTCTAGGTTTCTTGGTTTTATATTTTGTCAGTAATATTCGTTTAATTTTTGGTGGGGGAGGGGGAAACTGTTTGTTTTCTTTGGAGATTTCCTTTTCATTGCCTTCTCCTTACATTTCTTTGTAAATAAAAATACCGCTTTTCTTTTTCTCATATTCCTTCACACCCAGTAACCCCTTTGCGTCTTAGTGGCTTTATTGCCTTACTTGGAGAGAAACAATTAATATTTAAATTCAATGTCAATCGTTATCTTCTGTCTTCCTAATTCCTATTCTTTATTGTTCCCTCTCGTTAATAATGTTTTTCTTTTTCTCATATTCTTTCACACTCAGTAATCCCCTTGCGTCTTAGTGACTTTATTACCTTGCTTGCAGAGAAACGATTAAAATTTAAATGCAATGTCAATCGTTATCTTCTGTCTTTTTAATTCCTCTTCTTTATTGTTCACTCTCCTTAATAATGTTTTTTTTTCTCATCTTTCACACTCAGTAAACCCCTTGCGTCTTAGTGGCATTTTTGCCTTGCTTGGAGAGAAACGATTAAAATTTACATGCAATGTCAATCATTATCTTCTGTCTTTTTAATTCCTCTTCTTTTATTGCCCTCTTGCATCAATAATGTATATCTTTATCTTATTCTTTCACACTAAGTAACACACTTGTGTCTTAGTGGCTTTATTGCCTTCTTTGGGATGAAATTATAAAAGAATTATTCATTCTTTGCTTTAGTATTTTCACCCATCCATTCATTCGTTCATGCATTCAGTCTTTCTTTACTTCAATATTTTCATTTACTCATTTAATCATTCTTTCTTTTCTTTTCTTTCTTTCTTTCTTTCTTTCTTTCTTTCCCATTAATTCTTTTTATTCGTTTCCCTCTCTGTATTGCTTTTTCCTTTTCTTTCTTTGATTTATATTATCTATCTTCACTAAATATCTTTTTAACACTAAATGCAATTTTCGTTTTTTTTTCTTTCTTTTTTCTTTCTTAATTATAATCATCTACATTATTTCTGTTTTTATTTCACAACGCTTCGGCCATTGTACGCTCCGGTCTTAATGTATATGTCTATATCTCTGAGATGAGGTATTATGATTACTTGCATTATTTACATTATTCACACTGTTATCCTCATCTTCATTGCCATATTCACAACGTTTCGGCCGTTGTACGCTCCGGCCTTTATGTCTATGTCTCTCTATATATCTGTCTATATCTCTGAGATGACGTATTATGATTACTTGCATTATTTACATTATTCGGACTGTTATCCTCATCTTCATTGCCATATTCACAAAGTTTTGGCCGTTGTAATCTCCGGCCTTTTATGTCTATGTCTCTCTATATATCTGTCTATATCTCTGAGATGAGATATTATGATTACTTGCATTATTTACATTATTCGGACTGTTATCCTCATCTTCATTGCCATATTCACAACGTTTCGGCCGTTGTAATCTCCGGCCTTTATGTCTATGTCTCTCTATATATCTGTCTATATCTCTGAGATGAGGTATTATGATTACTTGCATTATTTACATTATTCGGACTGTTATCCTCATCTTCATTGCCATATTCACAACGTTTCGGCCGTTGTAATCCTCCGGCCTTTTCTGTCTATGTCTCTCTATATATCTGTCTATATCTCTCAGATGAGGTATTATGATTACTTATTCATTATTTACATTATTCGGACTGTTATCCTCATCTTCATTGCCATATTCATTAACGTTTTCGGCTGTTATAATCTCCGGCCTTTTCGATGTCTATGTCTCTCTATATATCTGTCTATATCTCTGAGATGACGTATTATGATTACTTGCATTATTTACATTATTCGGACTGTTATCATCATCTTCATTGCCATATTCATTATGTTTCGGCCGATGTACGCTCCGGCCTTTATGTCTGTCTCTCTATATATCTGTCTATATCTCTGAGATGAGGTATTATGATTACTTGCATTATTTACATTATTCGGACTGTTATCCTCATCTTCATTGCCATATTCACAACGTTTCGGCCGTTGTAATCTCCGGCCTTTATGTCTATGTCTCTCTATATATCTGTCTATATCTCTGAGATGAGGTATTATGATTACTTGCATTATTTACATTATTCGGACTGTTATCATCATCTTCATTGCCATATTCATTAACGTTTCGGCCGTTGTAATCTCCGGCCTTTATGTCTATGTCTCTCTCTATATCTGTCTATATCTCTGAGATGAGGTATTATGATTACTTGCATTATTTACATTATTCGGACTGTTATCCATCATCTTCATTGCCATATTCACAACGTTTCGGCCGATGTAATATCTCCGGCCTTTATTTACATTATTCGTCTCTCTATATATCTGTCTATATCTCTGAGATGAGGTATTATGATTACTTGCATTATTTACATTATTCGGACTGTTATCATCATCTTCATTGCCATATTCACAACGTTTCGGCCGTTGTACCTCCGGCCTTTATGTCTATGTCTCTCTATATATCTGTCTATATCTCTGAGATGAGGTATTATGATTACTTGCATTATTTACATTATTCGGACTGTTATCATCATCTTCATTGCCATATTCACAACGTTTCGGCCGTTGTAATCTCCGGCCTTTATGTCTATGTCTCTCTCTATATCTGTCTATATCTCTCAGATGAGGTATTATGATTACTTGCATTATTTACATTATTCGGACTGTTATCCTCATCTTCATTGCCATATTCACAACGTTTCGGCCGTTGTAATCTCCGGCCTTTATGGCTATGTCTCTCTATATATCTGTCTATATCTCTGAGATGAGGTATTATGATTACTTGCATTATTTACATTATTCGGACTGTTATCCTCATCTTCATTGCCATATTCACAACGTTTCGGCCGTTGTAATCTCCGGCCTTTATGGCTATGTCTCTCTATATATCTGTCTATATCTCTGAGATGAGGTATTATGATTACTTGCATTATTTACATTATTCGGACTGTTATCTCATCTTCATTGCCCGATGTACGCTCCGGCCTTCTATGTCAATATCGTTTATCGATGATTATGATTACGTATTATTCGTTGTAATCATCATCTTCATTTATTCACAATGTTTCGGCCGATGTACTCTTTATGTCTATGTCTGTCTATATCTCTGAGATGAGGTATTATGATTACTTGCATTATTTACATTATTCGGACTGTTATCATCATCTTCATTGCCATATTCATTAATGTTTCGGCCGATGTAATCTCCGGCCTTTATGTCTATGTCTCTATATATCTGTCTATATCTCTGAGATGAGGTATTATGATTACTTGCATTATTTACATTATTCGGACTGTTATCCTCATCTTCATTGCCATATTCACAATGTTTCGGCCGATGTAATCTCCGGCCTTTATGTCTATGTCTCTCTATATATCTGTCTATATCTCTGAAATGAGGTATTATGATTACTTGCATTATTTACATTATTCGGACTGTTATCCTCATCTTCATTGCCATATTCACAACGTTTCGGCCGATGTACGCTCCGGCCTTTATGTCTATGTCTCTCTATATATCTGTCTATATCTCTGTGATGAGGTATTATGATTACTTGCATTATTTACATTATTCGGACTGTTATCCTCATCTTCATTGCCATATTCACAACGTTTCGGCCGATGTACGCTCCGGCCTTTATGTCTATGTCTCTCTATATCTGTCTATCTATATCTCTTATTTACATTATTCGGACTGTTAGGTATTATGATTACTTGTACCTCCGGCCTTTATTATTTGTCTATATCATTATTCGATTACTTGATTATTTACTTATTGTTATCATCATCTTCATTGCCATATTCACAACGTTTCGGCCGATGTACGCTCCGGCCTTTATGTCTATGTCTCTCTATATATCTGTCTATATCTCTGAGATGAGGTATTATGATTACTTGCATTATTTACATTATTCGGACTGTTATCATCATCTTCATTGCCATATTCACAAGGTTTCGGCCGTTGTACGCTCCGGCCTTTATGTCTATGTCTCTCTTTATATCTGTCTATATCTCTGAGATGAGGTATTATGATTACTTGCATTATTTACATTATTCGGACTGTTATCATCATCTTCATTGCCATATTCACAACGTTTCGGCCGTTGTACGCTCCGGCCTTTATGTCTATGTCTCTCTATATATCTGTCTATATCTCTGAGATGAGGTATTATGATTACTTGCATTATTTACATTATTCGGACTGTTATCATCATCTTCATTGCCATATTCACAATGTTTCGGCCGATGTACGCTCCGGCCTTTATGTCTATGTCTCTCTATATATCTGTCTATATCTCTGAGATGAGGTATTATGATTACTTGCATTATTTACATTATTCGGACTGTTATCATCATCTTCATTGCCATATTCACAACGTTTCGGCCGTTGTACACTCCGGCCTTTATGTCTATGTCTCTCTCTATATCTGTCTATATCTCTGAGATGAGGTATTATGATTACTTGCATTATTTACATTATTCGGACTGTTATCATCATCTTCATTGCCATATTCACAATGTTTCGGCCGATGTACGCTCCGGCCTTTATGTCTATGTCTCTCTCTATATCTGTCTATATCTCTGAGATGAGGTATTATGATTACTTGCATTATTTACATTATTCGGACTGTTATCCTCATCTTCATTGCCATATTCACAACATTTCGGCCGTTGTACGCTCCGGCCTTTATGTCTATGTCTCTCTATATATCTGTCTATATCTCTGAGATGAAGTATTATGATTACTTGCATTATTTACATTATTCGGATTGTTATCCTCATCTTCATTGCCATATTCACAATGTTTCGGCCGTTGTACACTCCGGCCTTTATGTCTATGTCTCTCTATATATCTGTCTATATCTCTGAGATGAGGTATTATGATTACTTGCATTATTTACATTATTCGGACTGTTATTCTAATATTCTTCTGTGTCCTCAAGGACATATATCCCAGTGGATAAAGACGTTGGTTCAATCCAATGACTAGATCCAAAGACTTGTGAGTTCTATACCAGACCACAGCAGTGGTGAACATAAAATTTCTATAGTTCTAAAGGGAAATTACTGGGACATCTGGAATAGGCATGGCACGTGGAAATAGAACAATCTACCCCGGTGGACGAAATAAAAGGTTCGGGTCGAAATTCCAGTCACCTGAAGAAGGCTGAAACGTTGTGAATATGACAATGAAGATGATAGTCTGAATAATGTAAATAATGAAAGTTTTTATTTTCCAAACACAGCTGTTTGATACACATACATGGGACCAATTTGTATATTTATTTTTCCGATTGAACATACGCATTTAGTCTATGATCCAAGCCAGAAAATATCAGACGGCCGAATCGTATCTCTACTGCCTTTATTTTTAGTTATTATGCAATAACATAAACGTCAATAATCAATTTTTTTTAAGCATATCGCCCCAAGCTAGGCAGGAGTGACACTAGCACCACAAGGAGTTACAGAGAATGAGAGCAAGGAACAAGTGTTTGATCCAATGATATAGATAAGCAGGAGGATCAACATCAAGGCATCAAGTGATGTCAATTGACATTACATTTAGATTTTTGAAGATTATATTTATCAGGGAAGCAAGTAAAAGCAGAGTTCTACTGACAGGAAGTGCGAGAGAAGAAGTTGTTGGGGTAGAATATATATATATATATATATATATATATATATATATATATATATATATGTAAGCATTTCACCCCAAGCAAGCCAGGAGTGCCTCTACAATGCAAGGAGTTATAAGGAGTGAGAGTAAGAGTAAAGAAGAGTTGTTTGAGGAAAGGATATAGAGAAGGGCCGGGATCAGGATCAAGGCATCAGAAGATGTCGATTGACATTACATTTAGATTTTTGA